CCCAATATCCTTCTAAAAAACTTCTCCTCAGACCTAATATTAGAATATTGCACTTTATTCAATATCATGTTATACTAGGCATAGCAAGTTAAATGGATTTTAGATAATTTTGAAAAAAATCGCGTTTAAAATGTCAGATGTTTTATTTTTAATTTTGCTTTTAACAATTTATTTGGACCAATTTTTCAATACAACTACAATTCCCACTTGACCTTTATTCGCCATAGCATTTCGAACGGTATTTTGGCAGGAATGATTGTGATAAGCGCGTCAATAGTTCGATTTTGTTTGACAAGGTATTTTCACGAAAGGAGGCATCGCTAAAATCTCCGAACAAACAACTATAAAATATAGCTGTCTTACAAACTGAACGACCATGTCCTTGTATGCATACGAACATTATTAAGAGAAGTTGACAGATAATTTTTTTCAGTCAAGAGCATACAGGAGTGTATTCAAAAAATATTTATGTACATTGCTTTCAACATTTAATTACCGTTTACTTTTCTATACGTTCTGGTGCTAACTTCGTCAAAATTGCAATTGTTGTCTTCTCGTGTTGTGCTGCGTTCATTATAGCTGGAGACGCTTGTTGTTTTTAGTTTTACCGTTATTAGAACTAGTAATGGAGTATAGAGCTAACTGCGATGTAGGTGGTACAGGAGTAAATTCCATTTTAGGTTGTGACGCGAAAATGTGTTTATATTTCATATTAGATGATTGTAGTTGTTGCAGTTGCTTTGATTGTGAGTTGGTTTTATTTTTAATAAATTGCTGTCTAAACGCATGAATTGGCTGTAGAGTCTCAGAGTGTTCTCCGTCCTCTGCTGTTGCCAAAAAAGTACCATATATATTATCTTTTTTTCTTAATAAGCTTAATTTTCTAATCAAACATAAGCTACATCAAGTAAGGAAGTTCTAAGTTCGGGTGTAACCGAATATTTTGTGCTCTCGCAGCTTAAAAGGATCAAAGCCCGGGTGTACTTCAGGTGTTGGCAAAATTTTATATTAAAGGAAGTATTGATCGGATTCAACCCATTTTTGACACAAAGACATATTATTATCGAGAGTTTCATTTATTTATTTTGTTATATGAATTTCAATTATATATCTTCCATATTGATCGATATTTTCCGTAAAAAGTCAACTAAAGGCACTGGGGTCCACATATTCAGTACCTAGGGGCTTGAACAGTTTTGATTCGATTTAGACAATTTTTGGTCACAACGTGGCATGCTTTAAATGCATTATTCACGCAAAGTTTTACCCCGATACAATCATTGTTGCTTGATTTGCATAGTGGAAAGTGAAAGGATCAGATGGAATTTAAAATGGTGGTATATGGGAAATAGGCGTGGTTATAATCTGATTTCGCCCACTTTCGCACTATAACAGAGAAATATGAGAAGAATGTTATGTACCGAGTTTAGTTGAAATCGGTTAAGCAGATCCCAAGATATGGGTTTTCACCTAAAAGGGGGCGGTGCCACGTCCACTGTTTAATTTTGATCGCAGTTCCTATAAAGTCATCTCATATCATTCTAGAGATAAAACTTCGTATCTATGGCGTGTTTAGTGTTTGATTTATCGCGCTTTTAGTAGTTTTTAACAGTACCGTTATATGGGGAGTGGGCGGGTTTGTCAACCGATTTCACCTATCTTCACACTGTCGATAGAGGTGCTAAAAATATTTGTTCTCAGTGAATTTTGTTTAGGAAATATGCACATTAAACCTAGTAGAGGGAGGGACCATGCCCGCTATTTAAAAAAAATTTAAACTGCAGATGCCCCTTCCTTATGTGATCCTGTATGCCAAATAACAGTTTTGTATCTTATTGTGGAGCTTAGTAATGGCAAGTTATTTGTTTTCGATTAATCGCGTTTTGTGGGCGTGGCAGTGGTTTAATTACGCTCATCTGCAATACCAACCGTCTTACGGTACCAAGAAACATGTGTACCAAGATTCATAAACATATCTCAATTTTGTTGTATGGCAAGTTCGGGCGTAGGAAATTTTAATTTAATAATGAATAAATATGGTTATCTTGATATTTTAAAAATAAATTTAAAAGAAAGTGCAGTCAAGTTGGGACTAGGTGAGCGATTTATTTTCCAACAAGACAACGACCCGAAGCACACAGCAGAAATTGTGAAGCAGTGGTTGCTCTATAATATTCCAAAACCCCCGCAATCACCTGACCTCAACCCAATTGAACGCTTATGGGACCTAATAGAGAGAAAAATTAGGCAGCGTGCTATCACCAGCAGAGAAATTCTTAAGGACGCGCTTAAAGAAGAATGGAAAGCTGTAAGTCCAGAAACAAAATCGCCTACTACAAGTAGAAGTCATTAAAAGACGTGGATATCCAACTAGTTACTGATTTATTATATACTTTTTAACCTTTAGCTTTTTATTCCTTTATTCTTGAAGTGAACGCAGACTTTTTCTGCTTGGCTTGAATGACCTTTTTATTTGAAATTATGACCGTGAAATTATTTTGAATTCAATTACGGTATTGGTACGTAATTTTGTAAAATAGTTACTTTTCATTCAACTAAATAAAGTACTGTAAACATTTTTTTTAATCATCTTCTTTTTCCGATTTTTCATAGTACAAAGGAAACTTGCGTAAGTGAACGCATACTTTTTCTGCCATGTGTATATAAAACCTTATATCTAACTCGATTAATTTTAGGTGATACAAACAACCGTTAGGTGAACAAAACTATTATGCTCTTTAGCAACATGTTGCGAGTGTGCAAAAAATTCATAACAAGTATACATACGTAACGGGTGTTTTTTTTAGAGGTATAGAACTTGAATTTGCAATAAAAGAACGATGGATTATTCGATTGACATGAATTTTATTTAGAGGTATAGAACTTGAATTTGCAATAAAAGAACGATGGATTATTCGATTGACATGAATTTTATTTATCCGAAAGATTATCTTGTGGCATTACATTTTAAATATGATTTCTGGCATATGACCGCCACGGCTGGCTCGGATGTAGTCCAATCTGGACGTCCAATTTTCGATGACTTTTTCCAACTTTGTGGCCGTATATCGGCAATAACACGGCGAATGTTGTCTTTCAAATTGTTAAGCGTTTGTGACTTATGCGCATAGACCAATGACTTTACATAACCCCACAGAAAGTAGTATAGCGGTGTTAAATCACAAGATTTTGGAGACCAATTCACAGGTCCAAAACGTGAAATTAGGCGATCTCCAAACGTGTCCTTTAGTAACTCGATTATGGCACAAGCTGTGTGACATGTTGCACCGTCTTCTTGGAACCACAGCTCCTGGACATCATGATTGTTCAATTCAGGAATGAAAAAATTAGTAATCATGGCTCTATGTCGATCACCATTGACTGTAACGTTCAGGCCACCATCGTTTTTGAAGAAGTACGGACCAATGATTCCACCTATGGGCTGGTGGACCAAACAGTCAGTATTTCTGGATGTAACGGTGTTTCGACACACACTTGGGAACTAGCTTCACTCCAAATGCGGCAGTTTTGTTTATTGACGTAGCCATTCAACCAGAACCAGTCGACGATAAAATGAACATAGTGCGCGATACGTATTCCGCACAGAACCATTATTTTCGAAATAAAATTGCACTATTTGCAAGCGTTGTTCAGGCGTGAGTGTAATCATAATGAATTGCCAAACCAAACTGAGAATAAGTCACTTGACAGCTGTTAAATCGGTCGCCATCTTGAACAGTAATGCCAACTTAAAGTTCCATACCTCGAAAAAAACACCCGTTATATATTATTTATGCTAGTAATAGCAACAACTTATTCAAGACAAGAAAAATGAAAACTATGTGAAAATTAAAAAGCTTGAAGAACACATATAACATATTTTTTGATGCTTTGCTACTTTTCTTCTGTGTCACCAATTCAAAGCCATACAAATAGAAAACTTCTGCTCGTGCTGGACATTGCTCATACGTTTGATCCTAAATAATGAACGGCCCTTAAAATATTTAAATATTCTTATTACCACAGGATCTAGGTTCGATCCCTGTTTCAACAAACATCAAATGGCTTCTAATTTCGGTCGCCTTTTCTGCTGCTAATGGCATTTCTCAGAGCGTATTTTTCGAACGGCACAAGGTGGAAATAGGAGCACAGGCATGCCAAAGGTGTGAGAAATAATAAATATTTCTTTTTTACTATACATGTTTATAACATGGCCTGAAAACTGTGGCTGTTGTGTTTTCGCTCACTTTTGGGGACTTTCTTCGGACTACAAATTGTTTGTTTCATGTATCCATGTTTCAACCATACTCACTAACCCACGCAGAAACTCGTTCTTATTGCGTTTGATGAGTGAAAATTGTCCTTGGAAAGTCGAACACGTTTGTTTTTTCGATGTATTTTTCAAACACTCGGCGTCCATTGTGCGCTAAGCATTTTTATTTCTAAAAATTCGTGAAGAATATGTCTTACGCATGCTTTGGGAATTACTATGGACTCCATGATGTGAAATCAAAAGATTTTCTTAGATTTGTTAAATGCTGGTCTAAAGAATTTAAAGACACCTATGTTACTAAAACTCGGTTTAAAACTTTGATTAGACCTATATTGGAATACTGGATCTGTCGGATGGAGCCCTAGTTACCGTTTGGAAAAGATAGATTCTGTTCAAAAACAAGTTTTATATTTCGAATTAGGGCATTTACGATGAGATTCTAGGTTAAGTCTTACTCCACACACTTGTCGTTTAAAGCTTATAAATCTACCTACACTTGTTAGTTATGGGAAAATGCTTGGCATAAAATTCTTAGTGAAGATCCTAAATGGAACAATTTGCAGTTCTTGTCTCTTGTCTGAAGGTTATTTTAATATCCCGGCTCGCTTTTCGAGGCAGTTTAGATCCTTACTGTTAAATTCTGGTATGTCACGACTTTAATTCCCATTCCTGCACATTTGATTTATCTGACTCACTTTTGAAAATTAATAAGACTACATTGCTTTCTCTTGATAAATAAAGGCTTAACAATTTATTATAACGTAATTTTAAAAATTAGCTGTTGAAATTTATGTTTCTCTAGCTGAGAAATTTTAGATATCGACGCTTAAAAAACTCTCTTGCCATTCATGAGTAGCTAATTTCGCATGTATATGGATTGTGTCCCTCGCGTCGTAGGGCGAGAAGAGGGTAATCGTTGGGTTATTATTATTTGTAAGAAACAACGTTAACATCGGTTGCATCGAAGTTATAATACCCTTTATAAATACCAAAGATTTCTTACAATAACTTTGAAGGGTCCGTTTGTATGGCAGCTATGAGCAATAACTACTCAATCTGCACAATTTTTACGGAGATTGCACCGTTGTCTTGAACAATAACCCATGCCAAATTTCGTGGAGGTATCTCGTTAAATAAAAAAGTTTTCCATTCAATAGCATGATTTTGATCGGTCAGTTTATATAGCAGCTATATGCTATAGTCATCCGATCTATACAATTTCTTCGGATATTGCACTATTGCCTTAAATAATTATCTATGCCAAATTTCGTGAAGATATCTTGTTAAATTAAAAAGCTTTCCATACGAGCACTCAACTCAGCTCGTTACAATCGTTTATATACAGGGTGGCTCACGAATCGGGCTACAAAAACAAACCGTAATAACTTTTTTTCTGTGTGAGTGATCTAATTACTTTTTTTTTGGCAGATTAATATTATATTATATATTATTTTAAAATTAATGCTTAGAATACCGTAATTTCCGTCCAAAGGGAATTCAGACGGGATTTCGGCGGCATTCCCACGAGTAGATGAACCATTTTGAGGTTGGTAAACATGTTTGCCGAATCTGGAAGTAGCGCAAGAAGACCGTACCATCGAGATCCGTATGCTATGTTTGTGTTCAAGAAACAATCACGGCTGTTGCATTGCCAATTCAGGCAAATCCAAGAGTTTCGACTCGCAACTTATCGACGCAACTGGTAGTTAGCAGACGGTTATTACAATGGATAATTCATGAAACCTGTTTCCGTATAAAGTTCAAATAACACGCCGGCTTAACATTCTAGATTTGGCTATTCGGCTGGATTTTGCCAAAAAATGATTGAAATTCCCGAAGAAGACAATAACTCGATAAATTTCCTGTTTATGTCTGATGAGACCCATTTTGATCTTGAACGGATTAACAGAAATGTAAACAAGCAAAATTGCCGATTCGTGAGCCACCCTGTACTTACCATATATACTTTACAGGGTCTCTGACTTTTCCTATTGGATGTTACAAACATGGTGGCAAACTTTATATACCCTGATCAGGGTATAATGAAAACTACGGATTGTGTTGACAAATTTTGGTGAATTTTTTTGAAGTTAAAAGCTGGTGCAAGCGGAAGCAGCAGAAAAAAGTTTACATGCAGCCATGCCAATATAGAGTTCAAACTATTATTTTTGATTGCAATATAAATGGTTATTAAGTTGATGCTAGTTGTACGTATTTTATACGGTATATTGTGCTGAAAATATGGTAAATTTATTAGTCTGCATGTGTATGAAATAAAAAAAATAAAAGAAATATTTTATTTAAAAAATTCCACAACTATAAATTTTTTATTTTTCATTAACATTTAGTTTTTATAACCAAACATATAAAAGTAATAAGCATTGACAAAATAATATAATAAGGATACGTCACACATGTATGTAGTTTGTATACATATACAATACAGATATTTACATTTATGTGTTTTTAGGACAGTAACAATAAATTTTCTGTAAGCTTAATTCATTTAATATATCAAAATCTACAATTCTTTAGTTTTATACTTATGTAAGAAGAAAGTAGCTCTAATTTATGTAAGCAAATTAAGTACTTTATTGCAAATGCGGGTATAATATCTTTTTCAGTAAGTATAGTAAGGGTCTAGCAATGAAAAGGTAACGAAATGTACATATGTTTAAATACAACATATTATCTATGGTGCTAAAGTGACTAAACTCGAAACATTTAGTCGTTATTTGGTTGTTTGTCACAGCTATTACATCCACAAAGTTTAGACAACGTACTCTGCGGCTCTACTGGACAGGTTTAATTATATCAAATTATCGTCCAGTTATGCATTGTGAATGCATCGAAATTGAATAGCTAGATTTCTTACACTTGGCACCCTGCTATTTAAGAGTGCAAATCCATTGATTATAGTTGGCAGAACTAATAAACTACAATCTGCGTATAACGAAGACCTCGCCGGAATCAAAAGTTGTAAAATTAAAGCTATTACATACAGTGAAATTGTCCAATAGGGACAGTCCACATAACCGTTAAAATTTCGTGACACACAGCTCTCTATGACCGTACACGGACACTATTTTGCCAATATTTCGTTCCTATTATCTCTGATAAACGTACAAGAAACCACAAAATGTGTATAGAAAATTGTACAATATGTAGTCCCTGTTTTTTTTTAGTTCTTATTTATTTGTGGAGACTTGCAACAGTTTTTTAAGAACAATAAACAAATTGACTTCCTCTTGCGTTGTCTGGTTTGCGGTGGTCCGTTGAGCCTAATCGCATAATTGTAATTCATTAACTACTGGCTAACATTGGCATTCATTAGTTCATTAGAAGTAGTGTTCTGAGTTGCAGTATTTTTTGTCAATCTGAAAACTATGCTGTTGTAATTTTTATTGGTGTTGTTGTCGTGTGACACCGAAGCTAAATATTTTGGTCACCCTTATTTAAAAGAGTTGAGTTATTTTTCATTTTGGTGAATCCTTTCGTGGATAGGTATACCACTTACATATGTATACGAGTATAAGAATATGAATGTAACACACATTCATATATATAGTTCTTTTGTCTTTCCTAAATATACTTGTATGTAAATTTGTAAAACACTCAACACTTAATAAATTATAACTTCAGTTAATTTTTGTGACTCTACTAAGTATTCATTTTAAACAAGTTTTTGTCACGCCCCAAGGCCACACCACACTGATTTCGGCTATAAGGAATTTCACTGCATATATTTTTCTTTGTGATGAAGTTGCAATCATTATACAAGTACGTTTACAATTGCGGAGTGTTTATAATGTTCGCTGCGGTTTAATCTTAGTGCTGCCCTTCTTATTTTTTAGACTGTTATAAAATTTCAGCTTTTTCATACTTTGTCTTTGATCTAAGTTCCAGAAAATATCGTTTTTGGTGAAAACTTTTTTCAATATATTAATTGTATTGTTTTACTTTACTAGATTCGCAAAAGTGTCTTAAAAATGCAACTGTCCTATATTGCTCGTTTACATTGCCAATTGATAGTCACTTAAACAAACACATACTTTATGTAAAATTAATGGAAGCAAACAAAGTTTAAGTTAAAAAGTCTACTTATTGTAAAATATTTGTATAAACAATATCATGGATAGACAGTAAAGAGCGTGCGATATACGTATACGCTGCACCTTATTAAAAATATCTGAACTCTCCTTTCTTACCCAGATGCTTATTTCGAATCCAGTTGGTAGTGTCATGTGACCGGTGAGTCTCGATATTATCCTAAAAGTTATATAAATGTAATAACGATGCAAATATATAATATCATAATAATTATATAAATATACATAGTATATTCATATGAATTGAACTTACACTGAGATTTGTATTTATCGCGTTCCTCGGGTGAGCATAACTATTGTTTCCTTGCAGATGTGACGGTGCTTGTTGTTGCCCATAGAACTGATTGCTCGCAGACTCGTCGGCGTAGTTATATAGAGTGACAATTGTGTGTGGAACATGAGCCACTTGACCTCGTATGTTACGAGCCTTCCACCATTTTCGCGTATCATCCAAAATCTAAAAAAGGTATGCGAACACTTAACCATCTCTAAACTTTTTTAACTCTTCCACGACACTGGCATAAGTTTTTAGAATAGAAATTATGCTTCGTAAAACCTACGAAGCTAAATAAATGTTAAATAATACAAGAAAAACCGTTAACTTCGATTGTATCGAAGCCTTCACAAGTACAAAAGATTCCATATAAGAACTTAATTTTGATCGGTCAGTTCTATAGCAGCTACATACATACATATATGCTAAAGTGGTCTTATCTGAATAATTTCTTCGAAGGTTGTAGCGTTGCTTTGGACAACAATCTGAACGTGTGCAAAATTTCGATATCTCAAAAAGCGAGGGACTAGTACGCGTATTTACAGACAGACGGATATATTTAAATCGACTCAGCTCGTCTTGCTGATCATATAGGTATAATCTATATATATAAAATTTACGTGTCACGTTGTTTGTACGGGGTAAAGTCTTAAAGTACTGAGCCGATTTACTAAAATATAGTACAATATATTCCGTTTCATCTAACTTAAAAAATAGAATAGTTAATATCTCAACTATTTTAAAAGTTAAAACAATTCATAAATAAAAAAATTTACACATAAGCATGTGTCCGAAATTCCAAAAAAATATTGTTATTATAATTTTGACAAAAACACGAAATTCCGAGAAAAGAAGGCTTGATAACCAAAATGATCACCGAAAATATTCTTGAAATCCTTCCTTTTGACTGAAATTTTATTGAAAAATGGTCCTGTTGCAGCTGACCAGTCTTCATAAAGTTACAGTTTCCTATTGGTTTAACATTCTTCATGTCTTTACGTATGTATATAAGTCTCAAAAGATCAATCAATAGTTTATTATAATAGTAGTATGTATACCATAGCCACAGCAACGCGTGACCGGATCTAGTAGTACTTTTGTATTTTATAGGGTCTCCAAAGTTTCCGTCTGGGTGTTACAAACTTCGTGACAAACTTAATATGCCTTATCCAGGGTATAATAATAGTAATTGCCAGTAAAACAAATGCTCGTTTTACGGCTAGGAGTTTTGTATCTAAACTTAATGTTCTGATGATGATATGGAGAGGGATTACACTCATAGGCAAAATATCAACGTACTGTGTGCGACGTAGACAATTTGTAGCGGTTCATTTAAGCTAGCTGCGCGTTAAAACTCAAACAAAGGTATGTACCTTCTAAGTAAAAGTATTCGAAATTTTATGGTGTGATGCCCCAGCTCGTGTTTTGACTCAGTATATAGGTGAATCATTAAAAGGTATTAAAGTTAATAACTCGGTTGCTTACGCATGTATACTTTCATAAATCATGTCATAAATTTAAGATTTCAGTATGATAAAATCCCAACTTTAGAGCCGTAAAAATAGCTGACTCACCTCCAAATATTCACCACGAACCACACTTAGCTCTTTATCATTGTTGGCTGTACGGGGATATGTGACTAGGACAATTTTAGCATGAGCTGTTTGTAAGTCATCTAGCCACGCTGCCAATATTTGTTCGTCGTTGGTGCTGTTATCACGACCAGAGAATTCGGAAACTGAGTTATTATTGCGCCCGCCTGTGGTATTTTTAGGGTCACGTGCATGTAATTGTTGCATTCCTGTTGATATTTCTTGAATACCAGCTGCAGTGTTATTATTAATTTGCAAACCGTGCAATGCCCCTCCGCTACCTTCAATTGAATCAATTGAAATTTCACTGTGTATGCTAAAATCACCAGGCCCACTGTTCGCAGCGCCACTTATGCCATCTGTGGCCAGAAGTCTTTCACCACCGCGCTCATAATGACCAGAATATTTCTCAATTGGCATACTTGTTTCGTATTCTTCGGCTTGGCCTATGTGTAAAGCGGTATTGCTGTAATTACTATTACTGCTAACTAGGCGACAGTTCGGGCCGCTGTGGCTGGTATGATCGGCATGCAAATGTGATTTAACATCTAAGCGACGCTTGCTAAGGTTTGTTGGTATACTAAGGGTTTCCAGTTCATCGATTACCAAGTAGTCTGGGGACCATCCATCCATGAATACAGGATGGTATGATCCCACATCATTTTTCCACTGATCGCGAGGTATAATCCAAGCGTCACCAAGAGAGCGCCATAGCTCAGTTTCTTTGCTCGTAACGCAGTTGATTAACAGATTTATGGCTTCACGTGTAAGTAATGGATTGATCACACGTGCTGGCAATTGGGACTCATAATAAGTGTCACTGGAGGCCTCGACAATTAGTGCCAGCGGTGTAAATAAGAAGTGAACTAGTTCAGGAGCATTCGGATCATGTATATGTGCTTTCAGCTTGGCCAGCAAGTTAAATGAAAGTTTAAATTTGGCGAAAATGTCGATAAACTCTTTTTCATGAGGCGGTCGAGTACGCAACATTAATAAACCCTCGCCGGGATCTTTCTTTTTTGTTTTTCGGATTCGGCGTCGACGCTCCAGTTCGCGTGATGCTGCAGCTGCATGTTGCAGACGTGCTATGAACTTTTCTATGTCATCGAAGCAATGATTTAACACAGCTACATCACGTTCATATTTATCACTAGACGTAGAACTAGTTTCGTCATTTAATCCCCCTTGTTCGGAATCTGTTTCCCCATTTCCATTACCGCTACCAGCAACAGCAACTGTATGACTACTTTCTAGCATGGGACTGCGGATGTGTAAACCATATTGGTCTATACTAGTGCGTGATGGCGTAATAGCACCACCATTGTGAAGATGATGAATTTGTTGCTCACTGCGGCTATGCTGATTAGAGGAGGCTGGTAATGACTTAACTAAACCAGTAGGACCGATTTTTTGGCTTACTTGACTTGATGGCGATTGTTGTTGATGCATTAAGCCGTCACGCTGTTGTGTCACCATTTTGCCATTCCTTATGCTCTTTAAGTCTTCAACCAAATGCACGGCGGATACACTTTGTGACTTAAATCGAAGTGAAGAAAAACTTTTAAAATTTACTGCTTTAAACAATGAAAAGTTTGTATATTTACCTGAAATATATGCATTTCTGAGCGTGAGCCACTGCCGCCGGACACGATAAATACTAATATATTATTATATAACTCCATGGCATCAGTAGATGTAAATGCTGTTGGCTCCTGTATAAGAGATGCTGGAAATCTTTCTATGATATTCTAAAATTAATTTAATGGTAAGCACTGTAGGCAAACAGAGAATAGGCAATAAAGTCAATATATCCTCACTCCGGTTTCATAATCCATTATGAGCACCCATTGGTAATCCAAACATAATTGCATTTTCTGGGACCATATACCCGTAGTTTTTTCCAACTGTAACAGCCGTCGCATGCCGTCTGCGGGATGGACAATGCCGGATTCCTTGTTTACCGTAAAGGTAGCTAAATGTTCGAGAAGATATATTGGCTTATTGTTCAAATCACTCTCGTGATGATCTTCGCCGCTTCGAGAGTCTCGTTCATCGCCGGAATATTCACTGGAGCCCATTTCACCAGCAATACCACGTAAACTGCCGCCAGCTGTGCTATTACCACCAATAGCACCTCCATTCGAGCTGTGATAAGCCATTCCGGGGAGCTCTCATTAACACAAAATTATAACTATTCGTACTAATGTTAAAAAATAACTAGACAACGGTAATAATAAATATATAGAAAGAGTATTAATTTTGTTTTTGGCCTACAAATAAAAAGAATATAGTTTTTTTATAAACATGGTTAATTCAGGCACAAATATCATCATTTTAAATGGCACTCAAGCTCTATAATTTCTTTAAAAAAAGACTGTGCTTTTCTCGGGTATTTATTAATTCCTGTAGTTTTCATCTTGACAGACCCAGTAAACTAAACTTATATACATATTTCATTAGTGTATTTCTTCGCCTATTATCTTTGTTTTGGTGTGTTTTGAAATGTGTGTGTTGGCAGCCCTGCCCTTTTACAACCTTTCAACAGATTATTCATATATTTATATATATGTACATATATGTATGTATATACAAACAGATATAAATAGCTGGCTAACCAAATAACAGTTTACAAGTATTATATTTGACAGAAGCAGGTATCGCTTGTATAGTTTTTTTATCACACTTACAAGTTCTTCACCAATACTTCTGGAGTCCAACATACATGGGTTAGAAAAAATGTATTTCCATACATAGAAATAACACCTATTTTCAGAAACCTATATGTTAATGTGTACAATTTGAAACTGCAAATACAAATTGGATAATCAGTTATGGTAAATAAAATACTCTTTTAATGTATAAAAGACATCACTTCTGTGAAGGTCTGGTTACCGTTTGAGATATGGAGTTTGAAACATATCGCAATTTCCTCCTTGACTGTGCAGCTTTTGATTGGACTTAACTGTTGCGTAAAAATTCAACATTCATTATTCGACGAAACTGTGAGTAAATTACAATTATAGGTATTTGGTATCTTCTTAACTTATATTATGGGTCATAAATTCTTGTATTTCGTATCCTTATTCACTCTTTTCTAAAATATTTCAGATATATTAAGCATTTTCTTCGAATTTTAATAAAACCGGAATTCAACTCGTCTAGTCATCCTGATAATTTATACATATGTATATAACTTTATATCTATCTCGAATAGTTTTCGGTTTTACAAACAACAGCTAGGTGACGTTAGGTGAACATAACTATTATTAGGTGAACATAAAAGAAGAAATAGTAGATCAACAATTTTCAAAATATACATATGCAAAATAGTGTTACTAGTTATACCTTCAACAGTGTATATTAAGTTTGCCACGAAGTTTGTAACACCCAGATGGAAACGTCGGAGACCCTATAAAATATATATTATATAAACGATCAGAGTAACGAGCTGAGTTGTTTTGGCCATTTCCGTCTGTCCGTCTGTCTGTATATACGTAAAATAGTCCTTCAGGTTTTGAGATATCGATCTAAAATTTTTCATCCGTGCTCCCTAAGCTGCTCATTTGTCAAAGCCGCCTATATGAGACGACTATAGCATATATCTGTCATATAAACTGAATGATAAAATACATGTCCTTTAATAAACAACTTTTTCATTTGACGAGATATACTAACGAAATGTGGAGTGGAGTATTATCCAAAGCAACGGTTAAAACTCTGTAGAAATTGTTTAGATTAGACTACTATAGTATACAGGGCTTGTTTGAAGATATTTAATTAACGAGATATCATCACGAAATTTGGCGTGGATTATTGTCCAAGGCAACGCTACAATCTCCTAAAAAATTATTCGGATCGGACTATTATAGCATATAGTTGCCATACAAACTGACTGATCAAAATCGAGATTAATATCATTTTATATCCTTTTATGCTATAAAAAATGCACCTATGAAGGGTATTATTGAAGTAACGTTTTTTTCTTATTTATCAACAATTTCTCTTAAACCGCTTATACTTGTATGTATATTTATATATATAAAGTCTTTAGAGATCTCACATTACAATTGATATACATATGTGTGTTTAGATTGGAAGGACAAAATGCATTATTCATTTAAATTTGGTTTTCGAATTTCATAGACGTATTTGGCTCAGCAATGAATAATTCAAACATTACGTGAGATATCCAAACAAAATTTATAAGAGAAGGTAATTCAAATATGTGATTCGTAGGTAATAAAGATGAGTGAAATCTATCTTTGACCACGCCTACTAACTGTATTCTACATTTATAATAGATGTCTCAAGAAAAATAACTGCGTTTGTATTCTTTGGCAATACTTTAATAAAAATGTGACAAAATTATGGCCACTAGCATTTACAACATTTGCCCGCACGAGCACGACCGAATCTTTAAGTTTGTGCTTCTCTTTTCGCTAACATGTGTATAGACATATGTAGATATTTACATATACATATATGTATGTAGGTTAATGGTAAAGTTAACAATCTCTCCTAGGAATGTATTATACACATTCCGGTGTATAGTACATACATAAATAGATAGGTACATAAATATATACATATGTGCATACCTGTACAAGTTCGAAATTCTACACATTACTATTGCATGATATCACTGCTTTGACATTTAGGCGGTTTCATGTAGCACTTTCTTAATTTTTTTATACTCCCGCAACCTGTTGCTACAGAGTTTTGTTCACCTAACGGTTGTTTGTATCACCTAAAACTAATCGAGTTAGATATAGGGTTATATATATATAAATGATCAGGATGAAGAGACGAGTTGAAATCCGGGTGACTGTCTGTCGGTCCGTCCGTCCGTGCAAGCTCTAACTTGAGTAAAAATTGAGATATCTTTATGAAACTTGGTAGACATGTTTCTTGGTACCGTGAGACGGTTGGTATTGCAGATGGGCGTAATCGGACCACTGCCACGCCCACAAAACGCCATTAATCGAAAACAAATAACTTGCCATAACTAAGATCCGCAATAAGATACAAGACTGTTATTTGGTACACAGGATCACATTAAGGAGGGGCATCTGCAGTTAAAACTTTTTTTTTAAAAGTGGGCGTGGTCCCGCCTCTAATAGGTTTAATGTGCATATCTCCTAAACCGCTAATGCTATAATAACAAAATTCACTAGAAGCAAATGTTTTTAGCACTTCTATTGACGGTGTGAAAATAGTTGAAATCGGGTGGCAACTCCGCCCACTCCCCATATAACGGTACTGTTAAAAACTACTAAAAGCGCGATAAATCAAGCACTAAACACGCCAGAGACATTAAATTTTATCTCTGAGATGGTATAAATTGGCTTTATAGGAACCGCGTTCAAAATTAGTCAGTGGGCGTGGCACAGCCCACTTTTAGGTGAAAACCCATATCTTGAGATCTGCTCAACCGATTTCAACCAAATTCGGTGCATAACGTTCTTTTCATGTTTCTATGTCATAGTGCGAAAATGGGCGAAATCGGACTACAACCACGCTTACTTCCCATGTAACACCATTTTCAATTCCATCTGATTCTTTCACTTTCCACTATGCAAATCAGGTAACAATGATTATATCGGGGTAAAACTTTGCGTGAATAATGCAATTAAAGTATACCACCTTGCGGCCAAAAGTTGTCTAAATCGAACCAAAACTGTTCAAACCCCTAAGTACTAAATATGTGGACCCCAGCGCCTATAGTTGACCTTCTACCGAAAATATCAGTCAATCCACAAAGAAATCTCAAACGAGTATACCATTTGACTTTGCGAGAGTATAAAATGTTCGGTTACATCCGAACTTAGCCCTTCCTTACTTGTTTTAAATTGGTTTTTACGGCCATTTCTACACTTCTACATATGTATATACATAACTGTGTAATGTGACTGAATGACACCATTTACAATGAAAGTTTTTTCTTATAACTGCTACCATACATACATTGGTCACACGCTAATGCTTTTATTTACATGCATACATGGATATTTACATATTTCTACAAGTGAACCTCAAACGGACCTTGATATCGAACTTGTTGGAAAATCAAAAGACCAAATAACAATCTATCTGATATTAGGTTATTTGATTCGATTTTTTACATATATGTATGTACATTTTTTATATTGATATATAATATAAGCAATATAAGACTAAATTTGGATACTTTGAGTGAGGTCGTAATGTTGTCTGTAATGTAGAGATATTTTATTTGTAAAGAAAAATGCAGTTGGCTGATTAATAAGGCTTGTAATTACAATTGAAAAGGGGTTTATATGTTAACTAGTCGATTTGACGGCAGGAGAGTAATTGCCGGAATACATAAGTTACTATACATATATATGCACATATCTGAGCAATAAATACGTATGTGCGTTTGTAAAGATTTATGTACATGCGAACGTATAAGGTTGCTCCTTGTATGTGAGTATAATGATCACTAGGACTTAGTACGCACGGGTAAATACAACCAAACATATAAGTTTAGATCATTGGTGTCAAGATAACAAACATGTTTTTTTCATGTTTTCCTTAAACAGTTTTAGCGCAACTCAGATTGTTATAATCTTTACATACATATGTATGTTTAGGTTAGTCACTTCTTTATGCGTTAGAAATATTTTAATACTTTGTTTATTTATACAGTTGGTTAGAAAATAAATGGCTTTTTTTCGTTAAAGTTATTATTATTAGTAACAATTTTGCTTTACGGCACATATTTTTATTTTGCTATTGCGGCCATTTGCCTCCATTAGTTAGTAAGTGTACGTGCAAAAACTGGCGTTAAAAGTGCAACGAGTAATAGAAAGCCGCCACAGAGCAGCCAAACCCATATACATTTTTGCGTTGTACATAATTGTATATAATATTATTAATAAGCCCATTAACATATAACATATAGATACACATACACACGTACATTTTGAGTTTTAACAGCTACATCCGTTGAACTAAATTCACTACATATTTTATATAAAATTTGATTCAAATCAAAAAAGAAAAGAACGCAATTCCAACTTGAACAAAAAGTGTAAAGTCAGATGAAAACAACGTTATCGTCAAAATAACGCACGCGCGTTCTACTAGCCACGTTATTTCGCTCCACAAAACCTACTGCATTAACGTTTTTGGTTGTTGGCAGTTAGCCTGTGTTTTGCTTTCGTTTGATATTAGCTCCCACGAATGGAGTAGAGTTCGTCTCACGTGAGCTAAGTTGTGTGGTACAACTAACAGAGAGAGAGTTGCTGCTAAACACTGACCGTGGTAGTAAAGCCAGCCATAGCGCTCAACGCAAAGCCTGAATTGCGTTCTACTCCAGAATATTGAGTAGTAAAGAGACAGCGCTGTACTAAAATAGCTAATAGTTAAGAACTTTTAAAACATTTTGATTTATTTTAAGCGCAAATACAAATATTGCAATCATGGCAGCATTAACAGTAGCTCTTATGTATGTGTATATTTATGAATATACGAAACTATACAAACAATACGTAAAAACAAGAAAAAACGTTAACGGCAGTACCAAAGCTATAATACCCTTTACAACTACAAAACATTCCATTTCAAAGTTGATTTTGATCGATCAGTTTGTATAGCAGCTATACGCTACAGTGGTCCGAGCTGAACAGTTTCTTCGGAGATTGTACCGTTGCCTTAAATTTCGTGAAGATACCTCGTTAAATAAAAAAAGTTTTCCATTCAATAGCATGATTTTGATCAGTCAGTTTATATAGCAGCTAAAAACAGTTTTCCATACAAGGGGATGACTTTGATCCTTTACTTTGTATGTATGTCAGCAATATGCTATAGCGGTCCGATATTCAGATAGACATCTCAAAAACTGAGGGAATAGTATGCGTATATATAGACTCGCGATATGCTGTTCACCTTCTTCTTCTTAAATATAAAAATGAAACCCTATTTCGTTTGGTACTTGAAGAACGTCCAAACAACAGCACGAAAAGACGTAAAAATGTGTACAGTTATTCGTTTATTCCTGCAGAAGGTCCTAACGGAGACCTTTTTTGCAAAACCACCGCCGCTTTTGCAATCTATACATATATATAAAAGAAATTTTTAATGTTCAAAGTCAAAACAATTCATACATAAAAAAATTTTATTTTTTAAAATCGAAATTCATGTAAGAATCATCAGGCTCTGCCAGAGTACAGTAATTTTTGTTTACCATATACTGATTGTTGTTACTGAACAAGGCGATTTTTTTGGCAGATGTATCGCCAGGCAGTGTTGAGAAAAAGTTCGACCATAACTATCAACTATCTGGTGATTTTCGACTGATCGGTTACCTTTCGCATTTCTTATGCCAATGAGATTAACGAATGTTTAAGCAATCGTTCTTATGATGAAATGGTGAAATGTTGAAATGTTTCCATCATCCATAAATAATCGAGTACAATTGCAAATTGATTCATCAGCACAAATATATTCCGAACAATTGCTAGATATTAGGAATGATAGAATAGCACTGCAACCAAATACACAGTGCATTAAATTGCCAGACATTTTCCACACACTGCCACAAATGTAGATGTTGACGAAATTAATTTCAAGATAAAATAGATTTTGTCAGGCAATCTCATAAATTTAAAATCAATCACTTTTGTTGGTGATGAAAATTAAAACGTAAATTTTCAAATTGTATTTTAATAAAATTCAACATCTTTTGTTGACTTTTGCTTAATAGCAACTCAAAGAAAATGTTTGTCGAACATTTTCGAATTTTAAGTAATTTTCAAATTTGAATTCCGTGTATTTTTATACCGCTTATAACGTTTTTGTCGTAAGTAATAAGTATTTTCTATATTGAATAGTTTATAATAATACATTTAATAGATACCGTAGCCACAGCAACGCGTGCTCGAAGTCTTTTAGTTTACATAACTATACTACTTTATAGCGTCTACGACCTTTCTTTCTGGGTGTTACAAACTTTATGGCAAATAGCCTGTTCAGAGTATAAACATTCTTTCTGCATGAGTTCAAAGTATGATACGTTTTTGTGTAGTTTAGCTTTGGCTCGTGTTTGCTCAACGTTAAACTTTTGGGAAGTTACTTTTTATTAGAGCCAGGAACGCCACACCATGTTAAACCAAATTCGTATTTAGACTTAGTTGATGAGAGTTACATTCAAATAACATATTTCAACAACCCCTCACCCAATTATTACCAAATCGACTACAATTATGCGTACTTCCCAAACAAAACAATTTTAAATTCCTGCATATTATTTCAATTTATATATAAATCAAGCGCTTATCAAGAGATATAATAAAATTAAGTACACTTTTTTCTTTGCCAACCCCAAAATTCCGATTATATACCACCGTTGATTTTTTGCACCAGCTCATACGATATTTAGAAAAGAATTTCATTTCGTTAAGATATTTAACAAATTTATACTATAAAATTTAAAGCTCATACAGTTCTTGTGAGTTATCACTTTTTTAGTAGTTTTCAACGTAACAATTGCCACGCCCACTTTTTTGACAAGAGCTGGCCCTCTCTTCTGTGATCGTCTGTACTTGCGTTAAAAATTTATGGCTTAATTATAGCACTTTTTAATTTTTACTTAACGGCACTTTGTTGATGTAGCAATGGCCCGATTTTTTGTCCATCTGCAATACCATACTTCAAAGTGCCAAGGAACACGTCGCATTCATCGAGATATCGCAATTTTTACTAAAGTTATCGCTGGCACTGGCGGACGGACAGACAGACATCCGAAATACAATTCGTCAATCTGATCATTTTGATATATAAAATTTTTTATATTTCTCTAAGTATTAGGTGTTATAAACAACGGTTAGAGCAACGGTTATTGCTCTGTGCAAACTCATCGAATAAAATTCTGAATCGATCGATAGAAATGGTCTAAGGTAAATCGGATTTCGGAAATAGTTATATTAGGCAAATACTGACTAGGAAAGTGCTGCAGGGATTTAATAGATTTTTATCACAAAACCATATTTTTATCAATAAAAGATGCTCCCCTAGTTCTGTTAAGATATCCTACAAGCCAACCTATATTTTCGGTATAAAGTCAGTCATAGACATTAAAGTACTAAAGTTCGATCTAAGGTATAGACTGACTCCGACCATTTTTAGAAGTAAGGTGCCATCCCTTACAATATTGGTGCAAGGTTTCATTCCCACACCTACAGTGATGTTTGAAGTTGCTGAGATATGGGATTTAATCTACGGCCATGATTGCAGGATTGTAGCAAGGATTTGGATGATCTCGGAGTTTAGATGAATAAATCTTTCTACTGTCCTTTATTTCATTCTTTATCATAGGAATACAAAGAACTTTGCGAATATTTTTATTTCGAATGTACCATGGATAACCCGATATTGCTCTATGAGCTTTTGACTGGAACTTCTGTGTTATATCAATGTTGTGCAACCAACCTACCCGTTGAATATCATACATCCAAATCGGTTTTTTGACGTAAGTCATGACAGTACTCTCTGTGAATGAATGATATTCTGATTTCGTTAGTATTTATATTTACTTGCTCTACAGTGCCATATTTGCAGAAAACCCGAAATGGTGCATTGGTATTATATTATTTGCATAGAGGAAATGATACATCTTTAATAGTAAGTTTTTTTTTTGGAAAGGCAGGGCAGGAGTCTGTAAGAAGACGACTATGTTAAGATCTTCCCGGGTTTATCTATCATAATGATATTATAGTATTCGAGTCCGAAAATTACATTAATAAGCAAGTAGAGCACTACTACAGTAATATTCGGTAGATCCATTAGTAATGGAGTGATATGACTGTGTTCTGAACTGATCAGCAATGTGGTATCTAATTATTTGTGATAAGCTACAGCATTAACTGAACTTCTCTGTTAACGTTGTATTCAATTTCTGAGGTGGAGGATGTCCTCAAATTTGAGCAGAGCAATGCAGTACATCCACGTCTACTTTCAATATAACACTATTTAGAATTCCATCAATCCATGAAAATAAGCAATAGTTTTACAATTAGTATCTTATTATTTTGCAATTAAATTACAATGTGTTACAGTGTTCAAACATTCTACTAACTGTTTTGAGTCTTCAGAAAGAAACGTCACGCTGATCATTTATGTTATACAAGTATATATACTTTATTGGGTCTAATAAAGTGTATATATAAATGATCAGCGGGCCGAGCTGACTTGATTTAGCCATTTCCGTCTGTCTGCTTATATGTACACGAACTAGTCCATCAGTGCTTGAAATATTGATCTGAAATTTTATACTCGTTTTCTGTCCAAGAAGCTGTTTATTTGTCGGAATCACCTTTATCGAAGCACTATAGCAAATAGCTGTCATACAAGCAAACCGATAAGAACAGGTTCGTTTTTAGAAAATTTTTTCATTTAGCAAGGTATCTTATAGAATTTTAACACGGATTGTTATCAAAAGAATATAATCTGTAAAGAAAATGTTCAGATCGGATAACTATAACATATAGCGAATCTTCTATTTATGGTTTATATCAAACAACGTTGCTATAAATAAATAACGACACGTTTTCCGTTGGATAAAAATCGTTGGACGATTACCTTTTCATATTTATTGTAGTTAGTATTATAGTTTCTGTTTAGCCGCAGTAAACGTTATTTGTTGTTGTTCAAATAACTTAAGTTTTTAATACACAGTATCTAATTAAAAGCGAGAAACTTTTGTAAATTCAGCTGCCATTCGACAATAGAGTACTAAATTGTACTCTACGAGAGAATATTGTCTACCTACCGCAGACAATGAGTCGTCGTGTATAAAGGAATTATCGAATACTATCCTACTAGGTAGAAATGTCAAATTCGGAAAACTGATCAAGAGAGGAGTTTTAATACATTGAATATCTTTAAAGAAAAAATGTATACTTATTTTTTTATTTATTTATGAACTTAACTTAACCAACTGAATAATTTACCAAAAGTGATCTTAAAAACATTTGAATTTTTCCAGTATTATAATATTTATCTTCACACTTGTTGTTGTGGAATATTTTTAAAGAATTTTTGTTATCAATTGATGTGTTAAATTCTTATAAATTGATAATCAGTAAATTATTTTTCTTCCTGATCTTTGTCAATATTAATTAAATTCACGACTTACGTACACATTAGTTCAATTTTATTATATAATATATAATTATTTTAAATTCGATGAACGAATTTTATTTACAGTTCGTTTTACGATTTCTGTCAAAAAATGCCAAATACTTTGTTCAAAGATTGCCACATAATGTCTTTAAAATACTTTACAAGTTGAGGTATTTTGAAAATAAATTAGTGGGTACTTTAAAATTTATAAATCAATTTCGGGTATATTTAAATGGGCATTGATGAAGTCCACAAATTTTTAAACGGATTCATATAAAAACCTGCTAGGCCACGTCACGCATAAAAATGAGTAAATCACAGATGCGCCCAAAATTTATGTTTTGTGGCTTAAAATTTTACTAAGTCTTAATATTTTTTTCAATTAACTCCTTTGACAATATAATCTAAAGAATTCTTATACTTAACATACACATGGCAGAAAAAGTCTGCGTTCACCCACTGTATTTAAGCATTCACCAAAAAAATATATGCAACTTAAAAGTTTCTTTAATTTCTTTTCACTTATTTTGAAGACAATTGATAAACGATAGTTAGCGCGGTTAATAACACGTCTAAAACATACATAATCACAGGAGTTATTCTTGTTTTTTTTAATATGGACCAAAAGCGTAAAGCAATAGATATTGGCAAAAGAAAAATCATTGTTGGATTGTGGCAAAATGGCAAAAGTTATCGAGAAATCGCGAAATCGCTAAAACTGTTGGAAGACAATACTCCTCAGTCCAGAGAGTAATAAACAATTACAAGCAAACAAAATGTCATGAGTCCAAGCCACGTTGTGGACGTCCAAATAAACTAACTGAAAGAGAAGAGCGCAATATAACCTCTCTTGTGAAGTGTAATCCACGACTGACAGCAAGCCAAATTTTAAAAGACATAGAATTTAAATACCAAAAGAAATATGATTATCTTGATATTTTAAAACTAAATTTAAAAGAAAGTGCAGTCAAGTTGGGACTAGGTGAGCGATTTATTTTCCAACAAGACAACGACCCGAAGCACACAGCGGAAATTGTGAAGCAGTGGTTACCCTTTAATATTCCAAAACAACTTCGTACACCCCCGCAATCACCTGACTTCAACCCAATTGAACACTTATGCGACCTACTAGAGAGAAAAATTAGGCAGCGTGGTATCACCAGCAAAGAAATGCTTAAGGACGCGCTTAAAGAAGAATGAGAAACTATAAGTCCAGAAACAAAATCGCCTACTACAAGTAGAAGTCATTAAAAGACGTGGATATCCAACTAGTTACTGATTTATTAAATACTTTTTACCCTTTAGCCTTTTATTCCTTTATTCTTGAAGTGAACGCAGACTTTTACTGTTTGGCTTGAATGACCTTTTTATTTTTACGTGAAATTATTTTGAATTGAATTCATTTATTTTATTATTTAGTTATTGGTACGCAATTTTGTAAAATAGATACTTTTTATTCAACTAAATAAAATACTTTAAAAAGAAAATTTACGTAAGTGAACGCAGACTTTTTCTGCCATGTGTATATTTATCGATATCTACTAGATACATTTTAGGTACTGCCCTTCTACCTAACTTTATTTACGTTTATTTTACATTTTTCGCCATTGCATTTACGACTAACATTAATAGGTTGCCTTGGTAGCCATGGCTTTACGTTATTATGTTTTGGGGTGTAATGCATTGCAGCGGGTTGCTGTGAACTGCTATAGGCAACAGCAAGGCTATGCTATTACACCGAACTGCCAGGCCGTTTGGCGAGAATTCTACTTAACGCAAGCACATGTATACAAAACCCGGCAATGAATTCAATGTGTTGCGAAAACGAACTGGCAAGTGTGCTACAATTGTTTCTTGGTGGAAAATTTTCTTTCTGTGTGAAAAACATTTCAGTAACCCCTCAGTTTTGTGTTGTATAAATTATTGCAATTGATTTTAAGTCTTAAGTTTAAATAAAATACGTATTTTCATTTGTCATTTGAACCATTCACAATAGCAAACTTATGTAAAATATACAAAAAAAAAATTTGGTAGCACTGAAGAGGTTATACAACTTTCATGAGTTATCCGTATACTCTTTTGTACGAATTCGACTTGATAACTTTGTTGTTGCTTTTTTTTTTGACAAGAGAGCAGCACGCAAATATAGCAGGTAGGGAAATAGTGAATCAAAAACAGCTATTATCACCTTGGTTTTGTTCAATCCCGTCTCCCACTTTTAGCTCCTGCTTGTTGACAATATGCTTTCCTGGGCCTTTTTATCGTCATCATATATAAGTATATCAATATTTCTAGAGCTGGCTTTTAAATTTGTCCTCGTCAATATATTAAAAAAAAATAATTTGTGGATCAATGCAAAAGTGAAACAGTTATGTTGGCGATTTTGGACTCGAAGTGTGTAGTTTTAGTACATTCCACATTACATTTTTTCTATTTGAGGTAACATTAAATTTTACTAATTATATTGCAAGTTTTTTGCGAGTATCAACCGTTTGAAAGAAGATGAGATAGAATCATCTTTCTTCTCGAATGCCCCGCTTTTGCTAGATCAAAGCAAAATCACCTCGGATCTCATTATTTTGGACATCCAGCTGAAATAGCGGAAATATAAATAAAACTCCTGAGCAGATTAGTAATAGGTTCATGGTGTTTTTGCCAATCACAGAGGACTGTACATAACAGTCTGATAAACCGCAATGCTAAAGGATTAGCCATCCAACCTAACCTAATGAATAAAAGTTTATAATACTATCTGTTTTCCATGCACTTGGATTGCACCGATTCCGTTGCGGCAGATTTACCAGTAGTCAGTGTCAGTAAAAGTCAAAACGAATCAGCAGAAACTTCGCAGTATAAAGAGGATGTTGAGAAGCTAAAGCAGTTCACATTATTATAGTATACTAGAAGCCTGACAGACGTTGTCCTGTCCCACGTCTTAAATGTAAACTTTTTTAATTAGCTGTAACAATTAGACCGTTTTGATAAAAATTTTTATTAGAAACTTTTTACAATATTTAATTCATATATATGTATTTATTACAATCCGACCAATCGATAGCGTGTCAGTTTGTATATTAGAATGCTTTTAGAGATGTTAATTGTAGAAGCTGTATTGAATGAAAACTTGAAGTCGTTTTAATTGATTGTGAAAGCGTTGAATCTATTCTATAACGGGTATTTATTCTTAGAGTTAATTATCTACAAAAACTGAAGTTATCGTAATGCCATAGGATGTACAATATTTTTGGTTAATCCTTGGAAGGTATAAACAAATAAATTCGATGGTTTTCCTACTACTCTCGAGCACGCAACGTATAATTGGCCGTGAGAAAAGCACGGATTTTCTAAATCTAATCCACAAATCGTCATTGTTTGACCTTGTGCATTATTAATAGTCATCGTAAATGCCAAGCAGATGGGTAATTGTAAATGTTTAAATGGTAACGACGAATCTTAAGGAATCATTGGAATCCGTGGCAGAAGTACAACTTCACCTTGAATTGTTCCACTCAAAATAGTGGCTTCAAAAATGTTGCCCATGATTTTTTATGTGGCTAATCCTCATTGGTGCTTGTGTACTTTTGTAATTTTGTATAAATAAATTTATTATTTGTTTATTTACATATTTCTTAGTTTTGTAAATTCACTATTTCCGTATAGAGTAACAAAGCAGTATGAATGTTTAGACACTATACACCATACACATGTCTATAGTCTTAATAGTTTCAACTATACTTATGCTATCTTAGAATCTGATCTCAGCACCATCTACCAGGCTCAAATATACTTTTGAATATCTGTCACGACTGCAGCGTAGTCTGCCGGAATTCTAAGTATGTAAAACGTTCTAACATCTGCGATGGTAGCGCAGTCTACCTGATCCAATATAAAACATTCCAAAATTAACATTACTTATAAATTAAAAATTAGTTAAATAAACACTTTCCAGTGGACCAAATTGTGAATCTAAACCATGCTCGAATCCCTTTGAACTCACACAAAAAATTTCATCAAAATCGGTCCAGCCGTCTAGAAGGAGTTCAGTGACATACACACGCACACAAGATATATATATAAAGATTTTTATTGTTGCTGTTGTCATTGCTTCGGGGCCAATCAAGAGGGGGGAGTTTCTTTCGTTTATGTTAGGATGTAAATGTCGTAAACGCGTTCACGTTTAAATGACACCTGCAGGGAGTTTATTCCGTTTTAGTGGTTCGGGTATTTACTATTAAATAAATATTTTCATGTTATTAAAAAAAAAACCGTGAATGCACCGAAGAAATAATACCCTTCACAAAGTTTCATACAATAACTTAATTTTGATCGGTCAGTTTGTATGGCAGCTATATGCTATAGCGGTCGGATCTGAACAATTTCTTCGGAAATTGTACCGTGGCTTTAGCTAATAATCCATGCCAAATTTTGTGATGATATCTTGTCAAATAAAAAAGTTTATTTTACAATATACAACGACATGTTGACAATTGCATAGTTTATTTTGTATGACAGCTAACGGGTGATCCAAGTAGAGGTACTTTGTATTATATTCTTTGGCATTTCATCATGGAAAGACCTACGTCTGAACAACGTTAACAAATCGTTCAACTTTATTACGAAAATTGACGTTCTATAAAGAATGTGTTTCGCGCGCTTCGCTCAACTCATGGTCAACAACAGCTTGTGCAAGCCTCTCCACCCTCCCAAGGGACATCGCTTCGCTCTATGGGCTCTTGAAAAGTTCCAAGAAGATCCAACATTTTCGAACGACGTTTTCTTTAGCGATGAGGTCCAAACAAGCAAAATTACCGCATTTGGGACGAAGAGC